AACGAATTTTCAAAATGAAAAATTAGATAGAAATAAAACGCATTTAATCGACGTTATCTTGAATCAAACGATAAAAAACGTTGTCTAATTAATAGTTGCTTGTTTGCATAGCGGATTTATAACAGGATAATTCCGACGTGTACGATTATGTAATGTATTTTTCTTTCGAGCGCACGTACAACTTAAATAGGATCAAATAGAATTATTGCCGAGAGATCTCGCGATTAGTAATGCTTTCGACGCGAGTAAAGAGTCATTTAATCGTAATGCAATTAAAAGGACATTGCCCGTGTTTATTGTGCAAATTGACCTGATTACTTGATTTATTTTCCATCACGGATGTTATCATCGGCTGTTGCACGATGTAAGGTAAATCCACTAGTATTTATGTATACAGATAACGACATTTCCATCGATATTAAAAAAAAAGATCTAAAAAATGTCGAAGTCCTCGATTATATTCGTTACTGAATATTACCGGATATTTTTATTTCTGGTTTTCCTGCGAGGATCTTATCTCGCACATTTTTATCGATATGTGATAATAACAAAGTAATCTATTCAGAAACGCCTTCCTGCCGTAACTGTGAATAATGCTTCGCTTATTTTCCTCTTACTTTTTTTAAAACTACATTATACACGAGATCATAAGATGTTGCCAACTACATTTATTATTACTTATTTTATTGGCATTGGGCATTTTATTGGCATTTTGAGGGTGCATGTACGAAAAAGACAATAAGAAAATTCTTACGATTCTTAAGAATTCACATAACGAGCGCAAAGAAGCGCATGCCACATTTCATTTATGATCGTTTTGCATAACAGATACAACGAGTGAGTACACAAGTGCAATGTGACTCATTCGGTTACTTTATTATGTTAGCTTATTACTTGAACTGTGCTATCCGATTTTTTTTGTTTCAACGCTGCAGATAAAAGCGCAATTTCTCACGACCGTTGTTTCCTGCCAGACGTGTACGTAAAATGTAAATTATTATTTGGAATTACACTGTGCGTCAATAATCAATTAAACTTTATTAATTAACCAAATTATAGTAATGAATATATTACAAATAGAAAGATATGCGTAACACAAATGTCAAAATAATTATACGCAAATCCATTACAAATTCAATTAATGTTCAGTTACACATGTACATGACAATGCAAACATTCCCCTCTATTAATTTAAGAAATATTAATATTTATATTTATACAAGAGACTACGCGATACAAATATGTAAAAAATTATATATGTGAATGCAACAGAAATAATTATAGAAATAATTATAGTGCGTGTGATTAAGTATCTTATAGACCGCCAATATTGCTACCTAACGTTAATAAATTACTTAAAAGAATTTTTATGATATGAGATTTCATTTCACGTTTACATGCGCCTCAGATTTTCTCGTGTAGAGACATCGTGTTTATTTATCATTCAATTTTTCTATTCCCTTTTTTAATTACATATGTAAACGATACTTACTTAATATCATGTGGCAGGTAGTTTTATTTGATATTAAATCAACGTTTCTTCTCGGTCACTCACAAGTTTTTAGTTTCGTTCGAGGGTAAAATATTTGTAACACATTTATGATAATTAAGAATGAATCTATTCAATTAATTATTATCTTACTTGTAAATAAAGATCACATGTCACCTTTGGAAAACAATTGATAAATATTGCTATATATTTATTTGCTTATATTTCAAAGTATTATTATAAATTTAGAATTGAACGTCGCATCTATAGGTATGTTTCTTATTGCTGCATTTTCTGACCTAGTACACACAATGTAATAAATTGAAGTGGAACAAATATACAGTTTGTTTGCACTTCGACTTATTGCACCGGTTCAGAGTACAACAATAAAAAACAGACCTTATAATGTGTGGACACACGTTTTTTTTTATTTTTATTCTTTTAGCTCAATCATTTACTTCTCAGTATATAATTAATCATTAAAGAAGGCGTTCTCCGCTAGATTATCGTTAGATTAAAATTATTGTATAATTTGCAAGGCTGTTTCAAACACAATAAAATTAATATAGAAATCATTCTGAATTATAGATGTTTTCTAACATTGCATATCATAAATATTATTACATCGGAAATTGTATAATGGAACAATTGTGTAATTTCCGATGTGTAATAATATTTAAGATATGCAATGTTAGAAAAATTTCCAACCAGCAGCAAAAAAATGATAAATAATAGCAGATATCTTATTGAGAATTAGAATTTTAGACGTAAATGACAGTGATTTCGTGTAATATTTTACTCAACAATTGCATGTTCCAACTTATTTAATTTTTTTTTCATAATCGATCAGATGCGACGAAAATCAATCCTATAATTTACTAACATAATCAAAGTCATTCATCATATATATATATTATCTAATCTCAATATGAAAAAAATAAATGTAGAGAAGAAATGGATAATCGGAGTAACGGGATTAATCAGTTCCTGTAGAGAGCACATTCTCGTGCGTCATTTTTATTAAAACATCCGGTAGTGACAAAGAGATTTACGTTACGAGAGAGGTGCGATGCCAAGGTTGACTACAATCCCTCCATTTGTTCTTTCTATTCACTCAGTCCACCTACACACA